GTGTGATTGGGCACCTAAAAACGTTTTTTTCATTTTAAATAAAAATTAATTTTAATTAAAACGACAAATTGAGATCTACGTTACCAAAAAATGTGTTCGGGAGTCGGTTACGTATGGGGAAGGATTAACATCCCCACAACACCCTAAATCGGTACCTAGTCGATTATAATTAATGTCTTTGCAATGAAACCTACAAATTCTACTTTAACTTGGTTTATGATCCCTTAAAACAACAAAACGCAATTTTATAATATTCAGAAGTACCAAAATAGGTTAAATTAGGATTACCAAGCCATTAGAAAAATAAAGAATATTCGATTATTTAAAAATATTGAGACCAAATCTTTAGGTAAATTCTAACGATCTTTTCTCAAAAAATTTAAATAGTCGAATATTTCTTTTTCTTTCATTCCCAAATTTTAATGTGAAGAATCAATTCTTTTAGTGACACTGATGGGATACACTCATACACTTGTAATTTAAATTTGGGGTTGGATTGTTGTTGGGTTCCGAATTTGGGTCTAATGACCCCTTGTAATTGGGCCCGATTTGGGCTTGTTGTAAAGCCTGTAAGAAAGGAAACATAAATGATGATAATAATAATAATTATTATTATTATTATTATATAATTTTTATAGTAATAATAATAATATAATAATAATATAATAGTAATAATTATAATATAATATTTATAACCCGGACAAAAACGGGTGTCTACAGATATCAGTTATTGCAACTCCTATCTCTAAGTTGTTTTACAAAGGATAACCATTTGAGTGGTCTGAAGCAGCTCAAAAGTCCATGAATCACTTGAAATTATGTCTTTGTTCTGCTCCGGTGTTGAGATTACCATAGTTTGACAAAGAATTTCATGGCGAAACTAACTACGCTGGTTATGAAGAACACGAAGGTTTGATGTTCGTCCAATGACGAATTATGGTACTTTATGAGATTGCATTGAGATTATTATTATTAAGGGAATTTTATAGTTTATTGATATGGGGCATGCTGGTATTACTCGTTAGGGTACAACTGACTATGCAGCCAATTTCTATTAGAAATGTACGAGGAGAGACGTTCGCCAGTTTGTCTTAGAATGTCAATTTTGCCAACATATGAAATATACTTGTTTGGCTCATTCCCGTCTTTTTCATCCACTTCCCATTTTCAACCAGTTCTTTCTTTGAAGATATCTCTTTAGACTTCATTGTGGGTTTGCCGAAATCTAATAGGAATGAAACTATCTTGGTGGTGGTCGATCGACTCACAAATATTTACATTTTTGCACTATCAATGCATTCTAATATAAAATGTATGGCTAGCATTATGGCTCAGGGGATCATGAAACATCATGTAATATATACCAAGAACAATAATTAGTGATAGGGTTCAGATTTTTTTGAGCGAAATATAGACGAAAATAGTCAAGCTGTAGGAAACTCAGATATGTTTATGCTCAATATATCACCCACAAACTGATGAGCAAATTGAAGCTTTGAATCTGTGCCTCGAGATGTATATTCGTTGTGTGGCAGAGGATGATACGAACAAGAGGGAACAATACTTAGCATAGGCAGAATATTGGTACGGTACGGTACGACTTCTCACAGACCTAAGCCAGAATGACTCATTTTCAAATTATGTATGGGTGAGAACCTTCCACCATCATTAACTACCTAGAAGGAAGTTCTCCTAATTCTTAGGTAAATCGTGACTTGCAAGATCATGGTGTGTTACTTTCATTCATGAAATATAATTTAAGTAAAGCACAAGGACGTATAAAAAACTAGATAGATAAGCATCCACGTGAACTGGAATTAGAGGAAGATAGCTTGGTTTTTGTATGCTTACAACCTTATAGACAATTTTTGTTCCGATTACCTGAAAAATCAGAAGCTAGATCCACGATTGTTCAATTTTTATTGATTACAAAATGCATTGTACTTGTCGCTTACAAGCTGGATCTCCTTGTAAAGCCTTAAATCCTGGGTTAGGAGTTCGGGCTAACCCGAGAGTGCTTTTGATGAACTCAATAGCCTTGCAAGGAGGCTTAGTCCAATTGGGTTAAAGTTTGGACCCATGTGATATAAAATAAGGCGTTTTTAATATTAAGATGAAAGAGGAATGACTAAAAGAGTAATTATACTATTAAAAATTTCAAAAGCTAAAAGCTCTTAATGGCTTGATGATCTCACGTTCTGTTCTCCTCTTTTTCTGCACATTCACTTTGTCTTTGTCTTTTTTTTCCTTCTTCCCTCTCATTTTCCTACTTCCCTCTCATTTTCCTTTCAACCTAGAAAGAGAAAAGGTAATAACTTGGTGACCTTGCAATCCTAAAGGTAATATTCTTAACCTCTATCTCTAGAGCTTCAAATCGAACCCTTAATCTCTTCATTTTATCATAGTGACCAAAATATGAGTTTTGTGGGGGTTAGGAACTTTGGTGTTTCGATATGTTTTCAGGAAGTTCAAGCCTTAGAAATTGTTCTTAAACTCTTATTAACCTCTAAACCAAGTTAATAACTCAAGTGTTTGATTCTTGTCTTATGAGAGAAGTTAGAGAAAGATCTAATATCAAGGGGAAGAAAAACTAGTCTTGGATTGAGCATTGGACATTTCCAACAGCTTAGAAATTAAAAGTAACACACTTCTACTCAAGTTTACCACATTTAGACCATTAGGTGTGTTTTGGTAGGTTGTAAGAGTTATCAAGCATGTTCATGGTAGATGCATCATTTGACATTTTTCAGCATGTTAAAAGACCTATTATGACCCCTCTTAAACCTCATAAGACTTTAGTAACAATTGGGAACCTCAGTAGGTTATTTGGATAAAAAAATTTCGTACATGAAATATTGGATGGATTTTTATCAGATGTTTTATAATCGGTTTTTTAAAGAAAATTTTTGAGTTAGCTACTTCGGTGGTCCCGTGTGACATTCTAATCCATCGGCCTTCGGGTCAGACTGTATTAAGGTGTTACTACTTGATTCTTCTCACATCCATCCAATATTTCATGTATCCTATCTCAAACCTTGTAAGGGTCAACATCTTCAACAAATCACTCATTTGCTTTTTATAACAAAGATATTTGTTCTACCTGCAACAACTGAGAACATTACGGGCAAAGTTTTTTTCCAGGAAGAGGTAATGTTATGGAAGGAGTTGAGATGCCAGTATCAAGGAATGCGAATGAATGCTCAAAAGGATTTGTCAATCTAGAAGCAGGCACGAAGGACACTCGAGAAATTCGTAGAGGTTTGAAAGAGAAAAAGGCACCCTAGGCGTTAACTAATTTTGTCCTCTATTGAAGTTTAAAAACTATAAATAAAGGAGCATGTAAAATGTTAATGATATATGTAATCCTTGGATTTTATTTCTCACCTTAAATCTTCTATATATATATATATATATATATATATATATATATATATATATATATATATATATATATATATATATATCTTTTCTATATTCTTTTTTTTTTCTGGTTTGATCATAACAAATTGAGGGCACATTCTAGTATATAAAAATTAGTTAACAAACCTAAAATTTTGAAGGTTCACTAACAAACTAACTCCATCAAATGGACTCACCTCAAAATTCAAAAAGGGTAAACATACATATTGAGTTTTGAATTTAATTTCAAGATTTAATTTGGTATCATTTTTATCGATTAGATATTTTAACATGACTTTAAGGTTCAATATAGTATTTGAAGTTCTTTTATCCAAATAAATACATGAATTTGATTTCTTGATTCAAATGGATACTTGCATTAAATATTTTGATCAAAATTTATACTTACGTTAATGATTTACTCAAACAATATCGTCAAATTTAAGTATCAATTAAATTGAAAAGTTAAATTCAAATACATTATTGAATTAAAAGAAATTAAATACCAAAGTAAACTTTAAGAGTAAATTCAAAAACCTAAAAGAAAAAAACTTAAATAGTACATTTTACCTTGAAGTTAAGTTATATACCAAAATATATATTTACCTATTTCAAAACAATAACGCCATACTCTAATATTTAAAAACAAAAATGGACCCAATCAAAATTTCATGTCCCAAAAGTTTGAGAATAAAAAGAAAAAATGGGCTTGCAGTACAATCGGCTCAAATTGTTCACTCAATTCAACAAAATGGGTTTACCCCAATCAATAATCGATTTAGGGGTCCTAAAACCCACAAAATTAAATTAAATATATATTTTAATATTTTAATTATACAAGAATAAAATTTACATATAAAGAGAGAATATATATATATATATATATATATATAAAGTAAGTTAGAAATTAAACTTCTAACAAGAACATGTATAAATATTAAAAATAAAAGCACTATAAAGATTAAAAAATATATCGAAAATTTAGAAAATGGATATATTATAAAAATAAAAAAAATTAGAATTTAAAATATTCATAAAATATTAAATATTAAAAAAATGAAACGCTTTTCATCAAGAAAAATCTTCAACAGTCTCATCAACCTAAGTCTACTACTATTCCTTGGACATAATATTAATGAAATCAACCATATATTAAAATAACAATAATACTGAAATTATCCTTTAATTTTCTACACAAAAAATTAACGAGAACCAATTTGATGTAGAAAATTGGAAGGAGGATTTCAGTTTCATTGTTACTCTAATACAAGGCTGGCTATATTGAAAATATATACAAAGAGCAGTAGTAAATTGAGACTGGGGAGAGACAATCCAAGACAATTTCAATGGAAGTATTCGAATTTTGGTACTTTATAATTTTTTTTAAAATTTATTTAAAGACGACATATATATGTAGTGCTTTCATATGATTTATTTAAAGACGACATATATATGTAGTGCTTTCATATGATTTATTTAAAGACGACAATCCAAGAAAATTATGCTTCTCGTAACCGAATAAGCAAATTTATTTCCCAATATTGTAGTGCTTTCATATGATTTATTTAAAGACGACATATATATGTCGTCTTCTTAGTTAATTAGGCATCGAGAAGCTTAGCCCAGGCGGTCAAAAACTCTCCGTACTTGACAGGATCAGGGATGTTTTCGTTTTGCTTCTCGAATTCCATAGTCCATTTCACCAAGCTTCCTTCTCCCATCGGCATCACGTTAAGAATGGACTTCCAACTCTTGTATGCATCATTATCTCACCCCCCCCCCCCCACCAATTTGTAAACAATTGTCCTGTTTGTGTCATCCACCTTTTCCATCGTTTCCTTCACAGGCTCAATCTTACCTACAAGAGACCAACAACATATGTATCTATTTAAAATATTTCTTAATTATTGACAATACACATACATTACAGATCTAGTTGCTCAAACCCAAAATCTTTAGGAAGAATAACAATTCATTTAACTATTGAGGACACTTGATTGGTTCGAGCAATCTATAATATTTTATTATGTGATGAAAAGAGTTTATATATTTGTGGCCATAGAGGTTTACCTGCGACAGCAATATGCCATAGCCTGAAAGAACCTTGAGAATTCCAGTTGCCTTGAAGAAGTTTTACATCATTAACTGTTTGATTGGAGAGTTTTGCCATGAGATAGGGTTTGTTCTTGTACACATCAAAGAACTTTTCAGCTGAGGATTTGATCTCGAATTGGCATTCCATTCTCTGAAGTTCACCCATGGTTACCAGCAAGGGAAGCCCAGAAACCAGTCAACAAAGAAGCCTAGAGTTGAATGTTATTAGATTGAGCAAAGAATATTAAAATCTTAGAAAAAACTTCTTGATTCTTTATTAACAAGTACATGGTTTATATATGCACAGCAACAGATTACCTAAGCAGGTAATCTGGTATAACAGAATACAACCAATTAACTGCACTATAACCACACAACCTTATACACACGCAGTCGGTTACTTCAGCTATATTCTAGATGATTACTTCAACAATGTTCTAGAATTCTAGAATATTTACTTCAATATTCCCCCTACTTTTTCTCCTCTCAACTTCAAAAATTGACAGTACACCAAGCCTTTGCCTGAACTTAACAAAACTTTCTTTCGCCAGTGCCTTAGTAAGTCCATCAGCCACCTGATGTTCAGATGGTACAAAGTTCACTTGAAGCTGCCCTGTAGCAACCCGTTCCCTCACGAAGTGTATATCTAACTCCACGTGCTTTGTCCTAGAGTGATACACTGGATTCGCACTCATGGCAATTGTACTGGTATTATCACTCCACACAACTGAAGCAGCTTGAACTTGAACCTTCATATCAGTCAACAACGCTTCAAGCCAAACAATATCAGAGGTGGCATCAGCTAGACTCCTGTACTCAGCCTCTGTGGTGGATCTCGACACTATCTTCTGTTTCTTTGAGCACCATTGAACCATACTACCACCAAGGAAGACACAAGTGCCCGATATAGACCTCCTATCATCAACACTGCTTCCCCAATCTGCATCAGCAAAGGCCACAAGTTGAAACGGTTCTGTTTTTGGAAAAAATACCAAGCCAAGCGTCCCCCTAAGATATCTCAGTACACGTTTAACAGCCACCAAATGCTGTTCACATGGTGCATGCATGAATTGTGCTAGCTTATTCACACAATAAGCTATGTCTGGCCTTGTATGACAGGCATAAAGCAAAGATCCAACTAAGCTTCGGTATTCTCTTGCGTTTTCCAATAAACTGCCTGCATTATTACTTGACAGTTTAACCGACGTAACCATAGGCGTATGAGTTGCTGTAGCCTCAATCATTCTAGACTTCTCGAGCAGCTCCATTATATACTTCTTCTGGCTAAGAAACAGCGCACCATCAACACACTTAACTTCAATTCCAAGGAAAAAATTGAGTGTACCCAAGTCTTTGAGTGAAAACTTCTCTCCTAGCATCTTCACAACTTGCTCCACATCCTCATTTTTGCCTCCTATAACAATAATATCATCAACATAGGCTAAAACATATGTGCTAGTACGACCACTATGTTTAATAAACAAGGAGTTATCTGCACGGGAGCTTTGGAAACCCAAGTCCACCATAAAATTTTTCAGCTTGGAGTACCAATTCCTTGGTGCTTGCCTCAACCCATACAAGGCTTTCTGTAGCTTGCATACCAACCTTGTTCCATCTGTAGCCTGTTTCTCAAAGCCTTGAGGTTGTTCCATGAGCACCTCTTCATTTAACTCACCATTTAAAAACGCATTATTAACGTCTACTTGCCTTAGGCTCCATCCATCGCGAGCAGCAATTGTCAATACAACATTTACTGTTGACATTTTTACAACAGGACTAAACGTTTCTTGAAAGTCCTGACCAGGTACCTGTGAAAAACCTTTAGCCACGAGTCTGGCTTTGTACTTTTGTACCGATCCATCCGCATTACGCTTGACTCGAAACAGCCATCTACAGCCTACAGCAGTTCTTCCTTCTGGAAGGGAAACAAGTGAGCAGGTATTGTTCCTTTGAAGTGCTTCATACTCGACAATAACAGCGTCCTTCCACAGCGGATCCTTGAGGGCTTCATGAATATTTTGAGGTTCAACCTCATTTATACTGTTACTATTCTGATAAGCAGATACACCACTGAGGGTTTAGGAGTATACCTTGGGTCTGAACACTCCACTTTTGCTGCGTGTTACCATGTGGTGACCTGTCACAGGTGGTAATGTCTCACACTGACCACGATCATTTCGACTATTACTGTTCGATCCTTCATTAATTCGAGTTGAGGATGAAGTATCAGGCCCCCTCGAATTTTGTTGTGCAAACACATTCTCGTCTGCTACATTATTTCCTGACGTCACAGGCTGCACCTCTGACTCATCAGCATCTTCAGGCAGATTATTAAATGAGTTAGACCCTGACTCATCAGCATTAACCATAGGATTAACATCACGTGCTTCTTTTCCCATGCAGACACGTTGTGCACCTCCTATGATAGGAATTTTCATACCATTCCTACGCAACGCACACTTGCATCCGGACTTGCTGCTTGACGCTGCAAAAGGAAAGAAATCTTCATCAAAAATAACATGGCGTGAAATAAACATTCGACCATCAGAGTCCATGCTTTGGTATCCTTTATGTTGAGTGCTATATCCCAAGAACACGCACTGTGACGACCGATAGCTGAGTTTGTGATTATTGTACGGCCGTAAGTGGGGAAAACAACAGCACCCAAAGACACGAAGATAGTTGTAGTCTGGTTTCTTGGTATATAGCATTTCGTATGGTGATCTGTCTTGAAGAATGCTAGTAGGCAACCGGTTAATGAGGTGCACAGCAGTGCACACTGCATACGACCAGAATTTAAATAGAATTGAGGCTTGAGCCATGAGAACCAAAGCTGACTCAATGATGTGTCTATGTTTCCGTTCGACCACACCATTTTGTTCAGACGTATGTGGACATGCTAGGCGATGCACAACGCCTAATGACTTAAGCCATGCCGAGACTGATCGATACTCACCTCCCCAATCGCTTTGAACTTCTTTTACTGTGGCATTAAATTGAATTTGTATGAAACTGAAGAACAATCGAAAGGTTGGTAGAACCTGATCCTTGGTTTTGAGCAGATAGATCCAACTATGCCTCGTGTATGCATCAACGAAAGAAACATAATATCGGTACCCATTGGAGGCTATGTGTGCTGGACCCCATACATCACTGAAGATTAAGTGAAACGGTGTGGTATACACAGTTTGAGATTGATTAAACGGCAACTTATGGCTCTTTCCCAATCTACAAGCAACACAAATTGAATTGCCAACAGTATTATTTCTAGAAGTAAACATTACACCAACTTGTTTACATGCTTGCACAAGTACAGGATGAGCAGGATGCCCAAGCCTCTTGTGCCATAGTTGATATTTCTTATTACTACTATTGAAATCTTCGACTACTGTGGCATGACAAGTTTCCAAACATTCTGCATTTGTTATGAACTGATAAAGACCTGCATTCTCTTGTTCCTTAAGCAACACTGCTCCAGTCACCTCATCTTTAACCAAGCACGACCCCGCATGAAACTCAAAAAACACCTTGTTGTCTCTAGCAAACTTGGACACAGAGAGAAGATTTTTGGTTACTGAAGGCACATGCAGTAAATCATTAAGAACCAGCACACGAGAATTAGTAGTCATAGTTGAAGAACCAGCTCGAGCTATACTCAGGCTGTGCCCATTACCAACAACTACCTTACCTGGTCCAGTGTAATCCGAGCTAGTAGTAAGGTTCGAGGCATCAGGAGTGATGTGGTGGGTAGCTCCCGAGTCTACAATCCATCGACCAGAATTTGAGGATGCAGTGTGTGCTTGAGCATGCATACCACTGCTACACGACTTATATTCATCTAGCACAGTGTGATGCGCTTCAGTGCCTTTATTTTTGTCAGCCAACACGCCTAGAAACGTTTGATCGAAGCGATGACAGCAGCGATCAACTGAGTGTCCATTCTTTCCACACAGCTGACACTACAACCGCGGACGCCCACGCCCTGCAAATTTGTTGCTTCTATTGTAATTGTCATTGTAGGCCTGAGCTGAAAGTCTATCATTGCCACGACTGCTTGACCGTATAGCAGCCACATTCGCACTCATAGGGAGGGATTGTTGAGACAACGAACCACTCAATTATGACTCAGTATCCATCAAGACTGTTTTTACACTGTCGACAGAAAACACATCTCTGCTTGCAGTAATCACAGCTACAAATGGTTGATATTCAACCGAGAGACCATTGAGAATGGTAGCAATTTGTTCAAGATCCGAGATCGCACTCCCACACGCTGCAAGTGCGTCGCACACTTCTTTAACCTTCGTAAGATAGGATCTCATGTTGTCATCGCCCTTCTTGATTGATCGAAGTTTGCAATGTAGACTCATCACGCTCGTAGTCGAGCGATTAGCAAAGAATTTCTGAACCGTTCGCCATACATCAGCCGCTGTTTCAGCTCCTACAAACTGAGGCAGCAAGGAATCGCTGATCGTCGACAGTAGCCAAGATGCAAGAGCACTGTCCTGAGCAACAAAGTTTTCATAGTCTTCATTCACAACACTAGCACCCAACTCATCAACAATTCGAGCTGGTGGTGACAGAACTTCTCCATTGAGCAGCCTCTCTAATCTGTGGCTGCGAACCGTGAGCAATACTTGCTGTTTCCACAGCAAGAAATTCACTTCATCCAGCATAATGTTGATCTTCTTGTGAGTGAAGACCTTGCTGCTGCGAGCAGTTTTGCCGAATTCGAAGGCAACATCGTTGTAATCACCCATGAGGGCAGTAACTTCCAGGATCAAAAGGCGAATGATACCATATTAGATTGAGCAAAGAATATTAAAATCTTAGAAAAAACTTCTTGATTCTTTATTAACAAGTACATGGTTTATATATGCACAGCAACATATTACCTAAGCAGGTAATCTGGTATAACAGAATACAACCAATTAACTGCACTATAACCACACAGCCTTATACACACGCAGTCGGTTACTTCAGCTATATTCTAGATGATTACTTCAACAATGTTCTAGAATTCTAGAATATTTACTTCAATAAATGTGAATGTTTAGCTTAGCGGATTGCCTTATATAGAAAATTAGCTATTCCCTGCCGCGCAATAAGGAATCAATATTAAAAGATCATAATAAAAGGCTGTTCAATCCAATTTGATGTTGTTGC